TATATATATATATTAATATATAGTCGTGGCCACGTAAATCAGCTATTTCGGCACATCGCATCATCCACCGCTTTTACATACACGCATACAAACAAACGATGTATCACACGCTCATGAATTTTTTTTTCATCATCTGTGAATAATACAACATTGTCCTTGCGTGTCATGCATACCTACATATTCACAATACACACAAAACGCACATACATACATACATACATATATGCGTACGTACATACTATCCTGGCCAGTAGCATGAACAATAAAAATTCGTCATTACGTGGCTTCAATTTACACTCCTGCTCGCGCGCTTATTTCCGTTCGACGTCGCTACGTAAACCTCTCGAAATCATAAAACAGGGCATACCCTTCTTTTAAAAGAAGCAAGATTTCTTTTCTTCTATTATGGAAAAAGGGAGGAAAAGAAGAAAGGGGAAAGAAAGATAGGCATAAATATGCTAATTACTTGTTATATTCGCCTCCATTTGACTTTGTGCCGGATGTGAACATTTCACAAAAGTTTGATAAATAATAATCGCAAAGAGATTCTTCCCTCTTTTTCGGATTCTCTCTCTTCCGATTAGTCGTAGTAAAAATAACATTTTACGAACTTATAAATAATGTTAAAAATCATGGCTCGTGTCTGTAATTATATAATAATATGTATACGACAGATGCAAATGTACACATTAAGACGAATCAGTTTATTTAATTTCTTCGTCGAACATTGCGAAATCAGTGATTTTTATTTTCATCATTATAAAGACACCCTAGAAAAAAAATTCTTCGGATTAAATCCTATAATTCTTTATCTCGTTGCTTAAGTAAATGAAATAAGATATGACGCAAAGTGCAGAGAGAAATTTTGCTTCGCGATGATTACGTTCGATACTTTTTGAAGCGGTCCACCATCACGTATAACTTCATCACGTACTTATTACTTATTTGTATGTCGATATTGTAAGTTAAGTTACAGTAATTGTGGGCATATCGGCAGATGGATACCTGTTATGTAATTCCTCGAGATTCTTATATTCTTGTCTCGAGTTAAGATGAAAAGTATAAGAGAATCACGCGAGAGATTAATTTAGTAATTTGAGGATCTACAGTGCTAATGCCACTGAATAAAATAGCAAGATAAAAAAGAAGATAAAGAGTTACGTATTTATATATAAAAAAAAAAATTGATCAAGATTCCTTAAATATTAAAGATAAACTGAAACGTAATCATCATTTCAATTGTGCGATTCCGCGTTATTGCAACAAACACATTAAACTAAAAAAATTACAAAGACAGGTTAAGATTAACAAATATAATTAATAAAGAAAGACAGAAATAACAATCGAGTGCATTACAGTGTGCTGCACAAAAATTTCGGAATCCCGCTTATTTCGTATTTTTTAATTTTACTCGCTTCGATTAAATTTCTGTCATTTATGTAATCACGAATCGGTAATTAATCTTTCGTTTACAATATACGAAACTTTTCTTTAGACCATTGAAAATAAGATAAAGATGCATTGCGATTATAAAATTTGTCTATTAAATTTGTTATTACCATATTAGTCGCTATAAAATATGGCATAAATTAATCACGAGAAAAATTTTAATAAATTTAAATTAGAATTTTATTGTAAATATCTCGATTCTTGCTAGATGATTGTGTCAATACATAGCTAAAAATTTAATTAACCGAATGACTCGTGTAAAGTGTATATGCGAGTGTGTTGTGCGCAATTTTACAGGATTTTTGTTCTGTTTCAATCTCACAGAATCTTATAAGCGACGACGAAATATACGACGATGTATATGTACATATGAAGAACGTAGCAGCGACATTATATCGCACATACGCACATGCATCAACTTTTTTAACAATTTGATACGCAAGCACACAATGATATACGCACATAGACCAAGATTCCAGATTCTTCAAGAACAAGAATGAAGTCGGTAATTGACAATATAAATGCGCCAAGATTCATTCCTCAAAATCTTTTTTTTTCTTTTTTTTCCCCTAATATATCGTCAATTTATACAAGCTAGCAAGATTACATTATTTGTTAATATTATTTATTTTTCTCTTCGCGTTATTATTATGTTATTTCTTTTCTTTAATACAATAATTCAATCTTCTTTTAATGCATGTCAAATTTTCAGACTTGTTTTACACATCTCTCACCGAAAATACATGTGTGTGTGTGTGTGTGTGTGTGTGCGCGTGTGTGTGTAAAATAGTTTCTTCTGTTTATAAAATTATTATATACAATTAATATTATAAATTTGTGATTTTATATTTATTTTTAAATATTGTAGCAAAAAAATATTTAATTTCCGTATTTCAATAGGAAAGTGATTGAAAATGAAGTTGCTAATTAATTGCCTTGAAGTTGCGTTGCTTGATCTATGTATATACGTCATTAGCGCACAAGCATTTCGTTAATTTTCGACTAAAATATAATGACAATCGAGGGAAAATTGGTGAACAACTTGCTACATACGGGGTGTTCAAGTAGCGACGACGAAGAAAGTGATATGCAATTGTAGTAGTGATGTACAAGCATACATTTTCGTTTCGTAGAACCATGAAAACGATCTACTATGACCAGACTGTCAATCAAGAACATAAAAATTTATACACGTTACCACATATCATCGGGGCGCGAGGATTTCTCAGAAAGAGAGAAGCGAATTTGAGGGCAAAAGGAAAACGATTGTTTTTACACAAGTCTCGAAACGCCGTGCGCGTGCAAGGTATAGCGAAATTATACTTGCGTGCATAGTAACGAAGAACTTGAACGTGGCACATTTCTTACGTTCGCGCGTGCGCGCGCGAGCATAGGCTAATAGGATATATACAGACGATTGCTGCTATGGATAGCGCGCGTGCCTAAGTACAGAGAAATTAAAAAAATAATTCCATTTACGGCATATACATACATACATACGTACATACATACATACATACATACATACACACACACACACGCGCGCATGTGTGTGTGTGTGTGTGTGTGTGTGTGTATACATAGACATATATATGTCACACACTGAAAAAAGGAGACATCCATATCCGTGAGAGATCTCGATCGTAAGAAACATTAAAACCGATCGTGAGAATCCGTGGACGGTCACCCTGTACATATACTCGATACATAGTTATATAATTAAAACGCTCTTCGAAATACTGTAAAATCTCACAAAATACTCTTCTCGTAAAAAGGGCGCGGCTGAGACTTCTATAGATCGGGTCAATGTAACAATAAAAAGAATCGAGATTCGGAAATGTCGAAAGCTCAATGAAAGAAAACGAAAGAGACGTGGAGATTCTATGCGAAATGTACGGAGGGGAGCGAGGAAAAGTATAGCGGAGATTCGGAAACGAGTATAAGGATTGAGGAGAATCAAAAAACGATAAGACAAAAATTCCTTTTTCTTTTTTTTCTCTTTTTCCTTTTTACCAGAGAGGTTTGCCTAAGTCTTAGGAAACGTTCTTAACTCTAATCCGATCCGAATGATAATTCACGTCAAGAGTGTGTTGAACGAGGAGGATCGTCTCTCGAATCACATCCGACAACGACGTTGGCCCACGCTTATGACAGGATTCGCGCGTTCCACGAAGCGGAATCACATGCGAGAGGAATAAAATTAACGAGGTAATACGCACAGTACGCACAGATCGAACGGCGCGCGAGAGTTTCCGGATCGTTCAGATCCGCCGCTATCATCCGGATGAACGACAACGAGTGTTCAGCACACTCTTTCTTTCGAATTAAAAAGAAAAGAGAGTCGACGAGTGATGGCGAGATTAAATACGCCTGCTTCTCTCTTGGAGGGGTCGCTCGTTCGTTTTCGTCCAACTCAATCCAACTGACGACTGACGTGACGACTGATACGATGCGGGGCCGACGTGTCGACGCGCGGACATCTCGCGTCCTGCCTTGTTCGCACGCTCGCTTGCAGTGCTTGGCGCGAAATTTACTCCGCGCGAGGGAGAAGGAACTCGCTTCAAACAGATCTCACGCAGCGAAGAGTTGCTCGCAGAGCGGTGTATAATGTGTATCGCTGTATACCGACTCTCGTTGACGAGGAGAAGAGTCACCCTCAAGATCCACTGGCGCGCACTCGATCAATTATATCGCGCGGTACTATAGTCTATAGTCCTTCGGACTATATACGTTTTTCGATTTTTCGGTTTTTCCGTTTTTCTGTTTTTCGATTTTTCCATTTTGGACTGGCGAGGAAGCCCTACGCGTTACCTGAATATATCCAAGTATATGGAACTCGAACGAGTCCTCCTCGCGAGGCCATAGTTGATGGCACAGCTCGCTCTCGCTCATTCACAGTTCGCAGCGACTCAAGATGCAGCACGAGCGTGACCGTCAGATTAACGAATAATAATGACAGAAGACGTCGGCAGAAACGAAGTCACAAGAGCTCGTATTGGCGCAGATGCATTCGCTGGATAATGTCTCGGCAATCATTGAACACTCTCTTGATGTTCTCCGTGTCGACGGCGCACGTAAAGTGTGGATAACAATAATGTTTGCCATCGCCGCTCGCCGTACTTATGCGCTAGACAAACAAGCAATAACGTAACATCACAGAACATATGTATGTGCCAGCGGCCAGATCATTGATCGCAGAATCGCGCAAAAGAATTGGCGTGCTATGTGTATTATACTTACGAGGAACTCGTCTCTTATAAAGTACTTGGCCCTTATGACGTCAGGTATTTCCGAAGGATCCGCAGCCATCCCGGGCTCGACTGGTGTTTGGTAGCGCGCGAATTCTGGAAAGTAATCCTCCAATTTGTGCTTGCCTGCTTTCACCTTTTCCGCTAATAGATCTTGTTTGTTTAGGAACAGGATTACCGAGATCGTGCGGAGCCATCTGCGAGAAAAGAAATAACATTCGTCGAAATCAAAAATGTATTGAATATCATGGATATATTTTGCCTGGCCTATCATCAATAATGGCGTAAAATTGATGTTGCGTACCGATTATTCCAGATACTTTTAAAGAGATCGAGACTCTCCCTGAGTCTCAATTTTGTAGGATCTTCCCTGAGTACCATATTGTAACTACTACACGCCGTGACGAATATAATCGCTGTGACATCGTTGAAACACTGTATCCATTTTCTTCTTTCGTCACGCTGGCCGCCGACGTCGAACATACTGCAAAAATCGGGGAAATGCTCATAAATATAAACGCCAACGCGGCGTCTAACAGCGTAAAACGGTTCTCATAATGCTCTTATGTTACGTTTTAAACTAATATTAATTAATATTAACTAGCAAAAAGACTTAAAGATATAAATTCCATTCCCAAATACTTTGAATTGTTACAGGTTTGATAAAAATTTAATAAAAATCCTTTAGATCCTCCAGATCGAATCAAATTGTTTTAGAATTTGCACATCATGAGACATTATGGTACTTCTCGAGACGCTCAAAGCGATGCGAATAAAATAGCCAAATACACGAATTTCTCTCACGAGAATATTTATTATTATATTTGTTGGAAGCGAAACGGCAACACGAGCATAGAGCGAGAGAGGCAACAACAAAGGGGTGTGGTGGGCCTATAGAAAATAATATGTGGGGCGCCGTACGTGACCTGCGAGTGAAGGCAAAAAGGGAAAATGTTGCAAAGTTGCGGAGGCGTTAACGCGGTTAACCGATTTCAGTTTACACTTTATAACAGTGTAAGTCTTTCCAACAGGGCTTAATACATAGAGATGCTAGGCTAAGATGCGTGCCACCACCACTACCGCCGTCGCCGCCGCCGTCGCCGCCGCCGCCGTCGTTTTGCGTTTATATTTACCGTCGGCCGATGTGACTGTAATACGTCGGCTATATATAGCCACACGACATTGAAGTAAAACGCGCGCGGGTAACAGCATGTCGCGCATTATGGGACTTACTGAAAGTTTACTTTGTCGACCTGAAACCGCGTCTCAAAAATGCCAGACGTGAGGACTCGACACCTCAGGATGTCCTGGAACAAAACAGAAGCATATACTCGTTACTGTATATACGCTGTTAACTATGCAGTTATGCACATAGGTACACATACATATAACATATATATACATGTATAAAGATGCGGAATCGCTTTATGAGACTGTCAAGTGAGAATCTAAGATCGACAAATAATTTCAAGTCAATTTTTATGACGGAAAAAAGAAAAAAAAATAGCTTTCTGAATATGCCTGAAATCTCAAAATTACACCGTCACTATCAACATTAAGAGAAATGGGCTTTAAACGAAAGGGAAACTAATAATTACCTGCTCCGTGGGCGTGTAATCTGGCTGTTTTACGATGGCTACCTTATCTAGAAAACTGAAACAGAATGAATGAAAGAGGAATTAGGACAATTGCAAATTTTTAATTTCAATTTATGAAAATTTATATTAAGAGAAAAGAAGGATCCTCGTAAATTATTATATCATGACACACTATTATAAATCTCTTTCTAAAAAAAAAAAAAAAAAAAAAAAAAAAAAAATCCGTACTGAACAACGACAATATAAATTCGTCAAAATCAAGTTGAACTACTAGCTTCGATCGATGCCAGGGCATCCGCGATAACAATCATTGTCAATCAACCGCATCGTTATCGTGAGAGCCACTTCACGTACACATACGTTTCCATACGTGGTCGAAAACGTGTCTCTTTCGTATGCAATGTTCGATGTAGAGATGAATTAAATTTTTGTCACCGAAATCTTGGGTATTCGAACATGAACAATTCGCGATGCGAAGAAGAAAAGTAAAAAACTCACACACACACACACACACACACACACACACACACACACATACAAAATGCACACAATGCACATGGTAATAAATACGTGTGAAAGATGTATTCTAGAAGCGTACATCACAGTAACGCATGTGTACAATAATTCAAATCTCATGACATTGTTAAAATATACAATTTGTATATTTTATCAAGATTCGACAAGGAATTCAGAATTTAAATTACATTATTTGATAAGGACAAAGAGAGAGTTTACACCGCAAAAGTAAAGAAATTCGAAGCAGAAAGGCTTAAAGAAAAAAGTATGCCGGACGATCTTGTCGCTATGGAATTTTTCTTCCCGTATGTATATACACTCTATTTTTTGCAAAGTGCATAAAAGAGATATGTACATAGCACGTCGCTTTCCATATGCCTCAGTTCCACCGCATGTTGCTTCAGTTGTATGTACAGAGTCACAAAATTTCAAAGACTCGTATTATATTTTCAAAAATATGTACTTTTTAATATACAAAGGAAAAGCGTGTGCCGACGTGTGAAAGATACAAACCTAGAAAGAAGAACTAATCCGATAACAAGCTACTTTTTCCTATTTATTTTTTTCCCATTTGACACACACACACACACACACACACACACACACACACACACACACACACGCGCGCGCGCGTAGATGCTCGATATACTTTGAATTATTGTATATAATCCTCATATTTATTCGGACGATGTAAAACAGTTTGAATGTATGAGAATGAAGACGAAAGATTCTGAATAAATTTTAAACCACATGACGATCTTTTTCAACATCAACTAAACGTGCCCGTTTAGGATTTGTATGGCTCGCTTTCCGAGATTTGTAACAATAGTAATCGCGCCAGCAAAGAGCGTGCTCAAAACGTGTTGTGCGTAAGGTATTCTCTAACCATCTTTTTTATCTCATTGATAATTACCATTTCATTCGAAAGAATAATTCGAGCGAGAGTTTATATTTAATTAAAACTCAATGCCTGACGGCGAAGAGTGACTTATTCCTAGAGGGATATAATAAAGCGTATTAGAGCATGCAACAATAAATCGTATTATTATATCGTGCCGATCTTTTGTAGCTGTTATTCACGATATATTATCGCCTTATATTAGGTATATTGTTATACTAGTTATAAAGAAACAGCGTTATATACTGACCGCATAATATTATATACGTCCCCCGATGTAGAACCGCGGGGATAATAATAAACCATGTTATTATATTCGCATCGATCTTACGACTATTGCTCGCGGTACGACATCTATCAGATTGTTACAATTCATTATCAGACACCGCTTTACAACTGCATCGCATTATGCATGTATGTATCTCTGATTCGTTAGAATAGAACCGCGCGGGATAATAATAAACCCATATTATCTCATTTGCATCGATTTCCTGTCCGGATTACGATAGAACATACTGTTATCGATAGCATCTCGATTCGTCACGTTCTCGCTGTTGCCAAAATTGTCAAATTGTTTTTGTCGCATGTCTATTGATTATAGAGGACTAGAAGAGAGCGCGTAATGCAGTCCTCATCCCGACATAAGAAAAAAAAAAAAGAAAAAGCTGAAGGGGGAGAACAATAATTGGGACATGAGAAATGCAGAATCGGATGATCGCTTTTATAATAACCGTTTAGGTTATTAGATTATTAGGAATACGGGCCAACGTTTTCAGAAGCGGTCGCGGTCGGAGCTCTCCGACAGAGTGTCAACTTTCTTCTTTCGATCGAGCCACGTTCCTGAGTCGGCCGGGCTTGAGCCGATCCCTCTCTCTCTTCCTCTCTCTCTTTCTCTCCTCTCGTCTTGTCATCGCTCCACTGGAGCGAAAGGAATATCGTGCTCCTGTTCGGTAGAGTCTCAGGACAGGGACACGTAGGATGCCGCAGGATCCTGCAGGAAGCGCGTCGATGATAGCGCGCATATCGCGACGGAGAACGGAAGCGGATGCTGAAGAAGGGCAGAATATCGGGGGCGCTCGAGAGAATCTCTC